AATTCATCTGGGAAGTTTCAAATTACACATTGCTTCCCCACCACTCAAAAACCAGAAACAAAGCAAAGCAAAACCACAATTCGTATCTATACACTTTGCTTGTTTCTCTCCTGCTTGTAGACTGGTCTGCAGCTGCTCAAAGCATGCTTTCTCACTTGGAGGTATTCTGGGACTTCTATGTGTAAGAAAAGAGAGCTAGTTTTTGAGACAGTGTATCTCATGTATCCCAATGAGTCTTATGTATCCCAGGCTAGCCTCATCAGCCAGGAGGGTGACCTTGAACTTCGGATCCTCCTGCCTTTACCTTGCAAGGGCTAAGATTACACGCGTGCTTCTTGCCAGCATTTCCTTTGGCTGTACAGGGGACAAGACCCTCGGCAGGAAGTTAGACCAAGCTCCTACGTACAGGTATGATCAACAAAACTGAATGAGCACGAACCACTTCCCCAGTGTAGATGGTTCCTTCCTCCACCCTATGACTGTCAGCTTCTCTTCAACTCTCTGGATCCCTGTGCTCCGGGAAACCCCTCAGAGGGACTTAGCTGCTGTCTTCCCTGTATACTGCTTACAAGTCCTCCCCAGACTACATATCCTGGAGTATCTACACACACCCAAAGCAGGCATTCCTTTTCTTCATCGGGGTCCCCATAGCCTACCACAGTGCCTGCTATTCTTGATTAATGGACACTACTAAACAAAATACTCATCCATCACCTACTGGTCTGCCATGCCCCGCCCCTTTCCTTTGTGCTCCTCTTTCCCTGCCCTTTTTGTTATTTATTAAGGAGGCTCTCGTTTCTTACTGCAGTGAGAATCACCTGGGGAGCCTCCTAAAAAAAATATGTCTTTCCTGACCTGATCCCCAGAAAATGCCAGTTTAATTGATTTGCTATGAGGTGTGAACAAGTCATTCTAAAGGGGTTCTGCTGTAGAGCCTGCTTAGAGAGTCACCACGCAAACCCCTTTCTTCTGATTTTCCTTGTTAACCTCCCAGCCCTTCTCACAGATGAAACCAGAGTCCTGTCTAAATTCCTCTGGAATATGACCGAAAGGACACAGATTGTGGGTGTCTGTTGTCCGGTGTGTTCTCTTGACTTCTTTCGCATTTCTCTTGACGTAGCAACTGCAAGACCTGAGCTCACATTCACTGGAGTTGGGGAGCCAGAGGAAAAGCTTACCCAGCAGGATGAGGAGCACCCCCGCCAGCTGGGCTCGCCTGTATTTGGCCACTCCAGGCTCGTGGCCCATTCGGATGCAGGGAAGAACCGTCAACAGCAGCAAGATGGCTGGCAGACCCAGAACGGAAGCAGCAATCATGAGGGCTCTACAAGCCTGCACGTAGCCTGGGAAGGAGAGAACAGAGAGGGCGCGTTAGACCCCGGCGCGGGGCGGGGGCGCCTCTTACTCCTGAGTCCCACCTCTCAGGAATTCAACACCACCTTCCTCCTTCTGGTCTCCTCTAAGACTTAAAATGTGATCAATGTTGTCCAAGATCACCCCGCACCTCCTACTTTTAAAGGAACTCGGCGCTAACAGCAGTGAGAGAGCAAGAGAAATAGAGCGGACGAGGGTGCAGACCACTGGGCCACGGGGGAGCCCGCAAGATTTACTTGCATCATTATAACACCTTATTAAAGATTCATCCAGAAACTCAAATGCTCAGAAGCTCACCTCTGATGACGGGTTGTTGACGGGTTGATACTGCGACACAGTCTGCCTATGGAACGAGTCAGTGACCTACTGCATCTTACTTGCTTGTCGCCAGAGTGATGATAATAACAAAGGCCCTCCACCTCCCTACTAGAACTCCACTGGCAATAAAATTCACAGTTCAAAGAGTCTTTAGAAAATAGTCTACACTAAGCACTGAGAAAATGGGCAGCAGATATTACTGATATTATTGTTCTGGTCGATGCAATAGTTTTTTGTCTTTTTGTTTGTTTGTTTCTTTGTTTTGTTTTGGGTTTTTTTGTTTGTTTATTTTTTTTCAGGACAGGAGCTCTCCATTGTCTGGACAATTCTCAATCTCTGATCCTCCTGCGTCAGTCTCCCCAGTGCTGGAATTACACTCACACTCAGCCCAGTGCAATACTGCTCACTTCAGTGTGCCGCACAATTTTGTCCTCAGTTCCTACTGGGTATGAATGTATGTAGCCCTGACTATATTAGAAACTAAGATTACGACATCCCCTCTCTCGCTCCTCCCCAGAGGCTGCTGTCCTCATGGCTCCTATCCCCTTAGATGATCAACTTCCAGTTTCTGCTTTATTAATGGTGCCTGGGCATGTTTCTCCATGGGTCTGTCAATGCTTAAAAGATGTCTTTCCAGTCCCGGGGATTCCTGTAGAGTAGACACCTGCCTTGGTCTTCATGCCCCATAACAGGTGACAGAGCTATCAATGAAGGAAAAGGAGAGCTGAAAAGAGATGTAGAGCAAAGGTATCCACTCTATGTTGTCAAATAAGAATGCAACGTGAGAGCTTTATGAGGACACAGGCTATGATATAAACAATGTTACAAACAAGCTGGACAGAGACCAAGAGCTCCACAGATGCAGGTTTACTGTTTCCCTTTTACATCGTTCATTGTTCCCCATTGAAGCATTCCCCCCACTTTAAAAATAAAAGCCTTGTGTTTATAAACGTCTGTTGTCTGTTTTGTTTCATTTGCTTAGGCAGAGCTAGTGGCCTGAGTGAGGGTGAGTTGTCTGCAAAGCCAAGAGCTGACCCTTTCCCGTGGACCACGACCTCATGTCAGATCCAGCCAACCTGCCTCCTTTGTGCCAACATTCAGCGCCAACACTGCCCCTTAGCAAGGTGCGCCACATGGGCTCTCTTCCACCTACTGCCCATCGTCCTAAGAACGAGATAACCTGTCAGGTATCCCAGGAGGAGCCCCAGAAGTCTGAGGCCCAGCCCCTCCCCCACCCCAATCAGAAGAGCCTGGGAGAAGAGCCAGGGCCCACACAAAGGCAGCAGTCAACTCAACCCGATGCTCTGAAATTTACGGCACAAGGCTGTCCATGTGCTGCAGTCCCAGGGCCATGTCTGTAATCAGAAGTCAGAGACAGAGCAGTGCCCCTATCCCCACCCAGTTGGTAAGGTAAGGAAGCATAGGACAATTAAACTTTTCCACACAATATACTCCCTGCCCCCAGCATGGCCCGTGTGCTCTGAAAACAAGCCATTTGGCAGCGGATGCTCAGGAAATGTAATTTCGGGGGGAGGAAACAAAGGGATTTTATACATCAGTCAGAAATCTCTGCGGTCAATGACATTTGCCCTTTTTAGATCGTCTCCTACTTCAAAGGGGACTTTCGTTTCTCATCTCACTGACTCCTGCAAATAATCCTGAAGGATAAGTGGTTGGTTTTATTTAAATTCTTTAAAGAAGACCTACTAGGGTCTACTGGGGTTAGCAACCTGTCCTGGGTAACCCAGATTCTGAGAGCTGGGTCCTGAAGTCTGACCCACGTCTATCAAAGCCGCATTAACTGAGGCTGTGTCCACACCAGGATTCCCTAGCCCTGTCCTTCCAAATGTCCAGATGGAGAAAAGGGCACTGAAAGGCGGGGCTGGTGCCCACTGTGCCCCCTACTATGTGGTAGAGACAAGGTCTGGACCAGGAGCAAATGCAAAGAGAACTTTAATGGAGGTGTGGGTATAGCTCACTCTGCAGAGAGTTCGCCTAACATGAACAAAGCTCCAGGTTCGATTCCCAATACCGCATCCTGGGATAAGGACAAGAAGTTAGCAGTAAGCGAGCTGGGCAGAGGGAGGTGAATCCCAAATGCCCTGTCTGGAAAAGAGGGTGCAACTGGAAGCACAGGGTCTCTGGAAAGCCCAATGGTCTGGAGAAGGCACAAATTCAGCTACTCTCAGACCAGTAACTTTAGGGCTGATTTCTTCTCATCTTAATACCTGGCTATGCCCTTAAATACAAACATCATCGAAGGCCAGAGGCAGCCTCACCTAGGTTACAGTAAAGCCACAAGGCATGACAGATTTCTAGCAGGAACCTACAAGTGGTGCTGACAACCTCCCGAGTCATCTTTCCCATAGGACCTGAAGAAGGATGTGCCCTCCCAAACTCCCTCACCCAGTATCTCAGAGGCTCATCAACCCTCCCCCACATACCCAGAGATTCGGCTGCAAGCCCTGGAGTGACCCTCAGCACCGCCTTTGTCTCTGGTGGACTGTCCCTCTCTCGGGGTGCTGGTTCTTCTCAATACCAAGCAGCCCGCTTGGAGGAAGGATGACGCTCTAGCAGGGGAGGGGTGATACTGCAGCCCTTTTAAGGGACCCCCGAGATTCACTAATCTGGCCAATCCAAAGAGTCCTTGAAGGTGAGCCTAACCTCTCGGGGCTGGCTGAGTCCCGTACAGTCTCAGAAGCTCAGCAGATACTCTCTCAGGCACCAGTGTGAAAGAGCTCACACTGTGTGCTTTCCTCCTCAGATCTATAGACTGACTCTGATCAGAAGCCCGTCGGGGAACGCAGGGGCCAGGCTTCAGGATCTTTGGTAGATTAGCTTGGAAACCTGGGATGACAGAAGCGCAGGGGCCAGGCTTCAGGATCTTTGGTAGATTAGCTTGGAAACCTGGGATGACAGAAGCAATGGGAATTAACAAGAGTGAGTTCCTACCATGCGTATAGGACTGGATTCATTAAATTCTCAAAGCCATTAGCCAGTGTTACCAGTGGCTGAATTGCCTTTATTATCCCATGTTCCAGATTAAGAAACTGAAGCCGACAGGTGGTTGTTCAGGGCTAATTCTCCTACAAGGTGGGATTGAAGATGTCAAAACTGTACCCAGAGGTCTCTAGAGTCCCCAAACTTCTGAGAACCCTGTCGAAAAATCCCCATTTCTGGCCCAGCCTGCCTCTGGGAGCTGCTTCAAGCTCAGGGTCCTTACCCGGGAGGATGAGGATGTCCACGAGGGGCTTGCAGTGGTAGAGACCAGTGGCCATGACGCAGTCGGCCCACAGCCCCTTGGAGCCCAATTCGTCCATTTTTCGGCAGGTGGGGATGGTGTAGCTGCAGGTCACCACCCAGTCATTGGTAGACGTGGTGACGATGATGCCGATCCAACCCACGAAGCTCGTGACGAAGCCCACCACCTGCAGGCATGTGGCTACCATGGTGGCAGCAGCGACGTTCACGTGGCTCGACCCTCGCCGACTGTGCCCCCTGCGCCGGCCTGGACAAGGCCTGCCCTAAGCTTTCCCTGCCGCCCTGGCGAGCCGTTGGCTCAGGACACTCGAGGTGGAGCAGGAGATGCTGCTAGCGCTGCCGCGAAGACAGGTGCGTCTGGCGGGGACAGCAGCGCTGCTGGGCAGCGCGCCCCCGCCCCCTCTTTAAACTCGGTGGCCTGGGCCAGCAAGCGCCAATCCGCGACAGCCCCGGGCTGAGCCGACCAATCGCGAGCCGGGCGGGGTGTGGCAGGGAGCAGGGCTCGGGGAGGGGCAGCAAGCCGCCCCACGGGGCTGGGTGACGCACGGTCAGAGCTGGAAAGTAAATTAATCCCATCCCGACCGGGACCCGCGAAGTGCAAGGGGTGCGTCGCGCTCCTGTTGCATTTCCTGAGCGTAGTCTCTCTTCTCGAAGGCTCTCTCTTGACTTCGTGGCTGGGTCTTCCTCTGCAACTTCTACCCACGAGCCTCTCGCTCGGTTTTCCCAGCTGTAAACTCTTCCAAGGGCACCCAGTACAGTTTCTTATGGCCCTAAGAAGCCGAGGGGACCAGCACTCCGATGTTATCACAAGAAAAGACTGGATGAGAGCACTTGCTGCGCATGCACAGGCGAGAACCTGAATCCCAATCCTCAGCGCCCAATTAAAAAAATAAAATAAATAAAAAGCCTAGTGTGTAAAAAACCTGGTGTGACCTGCATGCACTTCTGTAGCCCCAGTGAAGCTGAGCTGAGGCAGAAGGATCTCTGGGGTTTGCTGACTGCCACCCTAGCTCCAGGTTCAGTGCAATTCTCTGTCTCAAGGGAACAAAGTGGATGGCGCCAGAGCAAGACATGGGACATCCTCCTAAGGCACCCCATACATACCACACAGACAGACAGACAGACAGACAGACAGACAGACAGACACACACACACACACACACACACACACACGCTCCACAAGAAGCGAGTAAAACAACAATGCTTTTCTGTGGCGTCAAATCAGCAGCTCTGGTCACAGTAACGGTGACAATAGCCACACTCAGACCTACTATTAACGCTTACTGTGTGTACGTGTGTTTTTCTGTTACAGCTCATTGAATTCTCCAAAGTTTGTAATGGAGACAGTTGTCGACGCCACACAGAAAGAAAAATAAAAAGCCCTCAAGTGATGAGTTCCTCAAGTTTACACAGTTAGGAAAGAGAATTCGTGGGTCCATCTCATCACTGTCCCTGACCCTTCCTGGGAACCCATCCTGGTTATCACTCTCTGAATGTTCTGAGAGGGCTTGGTGTTCCACTTCTGATACATTAAAAGCGAAGCATTCTGCCCAGATCACGGTAAACAAGTGAGCTTCTGTTCTCTGCTGAGGAAACCACCAGCCCGGACTGAGTGGGGAATGGAAGATAGCAGGTACACAGCCTGACAGCCCCCTTCTTAGGGCATTCAGATAAGGCTCCTTCTGTGCCCCTTGGGAAAGAGGTAGGGATGAGCCCTGGGACTTGAGCGTGCCAGACAAGCGCATCGCAGCTTCGGGTTTGTATGGCTGAAAGTCTTGAAAGCCTTGGCTTTTCTTACTATGTCCTGATCTAGTCTTGAAAGTATTCTTGATCTAGTCATGTAGGCCACTTCCTACTTAATAGTGAAGGATTTCAGCAAACACAAACACTTGGTGCTCAACATTCTGAAGCCTCTGCTACTAATTCCGAACCGTTGGTGTTGTTTACCACAGCCATCCTTGTGCTGGAGCCACAAGTCACCAAGTCTTCTCGGGAAGACTGGCCTTGAGGAGACGGTGGGCTGCCCCTTAGCCTGGGGGAGTGATGGTAAACACTTCATTAGTGTTACTGTGGCTCAGTGGGACAACCCCACAACGACGTGCTTGACACAGGGCTGGTACTGTTGACAATGTCAGCTCCTTTGTGCTACCAGGCCAGGCTGCACAGTTCGAATCCTGGCTCCGCTACTACTGGCTATGGGATCAAAACATTTCACTTTGCTTTTTATTAACATAAAATTTGTATCCGTTCCTTGAGAACTTCATGCATGTATTTTAATTGCATTTTTATTTACTTATTTTGTGTGCATGTTTACGTGTATGGGTGTGCGTGCATAGCACATGTGTAGAGGCCAAAGAACAACTTGCATAAGTCAGTTCTCCCCTTGTGTCACGTGGGTCACAGGGATCAAACTCCAGCCTTCAGTTTTGATGGCAGGTGCTCTTTACCTGAGCCGTTTTTCCAACCCTACTTAGTGGTCTTCTCCCATTTGTAAAGTGGGGGAGAAAACCCACCCTTATAGTTATCTTTATGCATATGTAAGTCACTATACATACAGAGTTGGAAGTAATGTCTGATACAAATTCTCAATAAACCTGGCTGCTATATTGCCATCTGGGGCTCAGAATTCTTGTTTTTGTATTCTTCTTGCATCCATGCAATGTGAGGATTTGTACAAACTATTTTATAGGATTCTATTCGCCTTTTGAATGAACCATCAGGTCTACAGAGGTATATTAATCTGGATGTTGTCAGATATCTTCTTATAATACCCCAAACCAGCTTAGTGCTAAGTACAATGTAAGATATGAAAACCCCAAGCACTGCAAAATAATCAGGAACTTTACGTTCTCGGCACCCCGTTAGAACTAATGCTCCACACAGGACAGCCCAATCAGAATTCCACAACGGTCTGCTTGCCCAAGGGTCTCACACATGTGCACGTCACTGGTGCATACAAACTCTCTCTCTCTCTCTCTCTCTCTCTCTCTCTCTCTCTCTCTCTCTCTCACACACACACACACACACACACACATGTGAACATGTGCGTGTGCTTGCAAAGTCAGATTTCAGAACTCAGGCACAAAGTAGTAAAATGACTTGCTAAACAGTCAAAGTTTCTGTCTTGGAGGGCAACACCCAGGGCACACATTTCTTCTAGATCTCTTCCTTCACCCACGTGACTCTCGGGTTCTTCACTTGGGAATGAGAAGTGAGTTTTCCACTAGGGGTGTTGTGAAGATTAAGGTACCACGTTATCACTTGAGAACATGAGCTACATTTATGAGACAAGACATTAAATAATTATTATGATCATCTTCTGATGACAAGCACTCACCAAACGCTACCTGGGGGAGGCCAACAGACATATGATAAAGTAGCCATGCTTAAAAAGGCTGTCCACTCCAAATGAAGTCACTGAGGCACAGAGACCCGTCACCAACAAGTGGACAGAAGCCCTGAGAATCCTCCAGTAGCCACAGGATATGGCTTCATGGGCCCCAGATGTGGAGGGTGCAATCCACAGCAAGGCTCTCTGGGTAAAAGTCCACCAACTCTCTTTTCACTTTATTTTATTTGAGATAGGGTTTCTCCCACATTCCTTACTGTGCCTGCATCTCACATCTTCCCTGTGATAGCGATCTGACCCCCCACACACCTAACACAGCCCAATAAAACAGTATCCCAAGCCCATACAATCTCAGGCACCCTTCCACCCTAACTGAGTCTCGGAGTCCAGCCACACCCAGAGAGTGTCACCATCCCGTCTCGGTTTGTTTTCTTCCGGAAACTCCGTCACTGTGTCCCCTCTCCACACCCCCACAGGAGCTCCATCATCCTCGTGTCCCCTCTCCACACCCTCACAGTTTATCACAGAGCTGGGAAGTTCCTGAGGAGCCCTGAGTTTCTGTCTTCTGACCTGAAGGCATCTGAAAGGGAGAGTTTAGAGGGCCAATTAGTGCACTACACAGAGGAAAAAGGAAGCAGCTGTGCTAAGAGTCACCGTGCTGTTTACACCTGAAATTAGCCATTCAGTTAGAGTGTGCTGTGTACAACATGAGGCTAAGGCTTTTGCTAGAAGGCATCAAAATGCTCACGCTGAGGACTTTGGGCCAAATAAGTGTGCTCTTAGCGCCCACTAGTGATCGCATAGGTGATTTAAAAAACAAAACTGAAGGGAACGCTGAGAGAACCCAGTGATGGACTAACCTAACTTCAACCTACATGTCAAGAAGGTGGTAGACCTAACTAAAATTTGTATTTTTCTGGGATAGTTTTCTTCTAATGTTAAAAATACTCATCTCTTTAGGAAACCAAACACAAGTTGTACATGAACCCACTTCTCCAAGACTGCAAATCAACAATCTGTTATGTGGTGCGGGTACACTCTTGCATGTGTTTATGGGGTGTGCACACACACATGCAGACGCCAGAGAACAGCACCGAGCGTTGCTCCATAGGCACCGCCCACCTTCTGCTTTTGTGCTTGTTGGTTTTCAGTTCCCACTGGCCTGGACAGAACGAGTAAGCTAGCCTGGTTGACCAGGGATGTGTGCGTCTCCACCTTCCCGGGGATGGAATTACACATCATCAAGTACACTTTCTTAGTGCATTTTATTTGAATTATGTGTATATGTTTATGGTGTGTGTGTAAGAATGCAGGTGCCCGCAGAGGCCAGTGAAGGCGTCAGATCTCCGGAAGCTGAAGATTTGAATTATGTGTATATATGTGTGTGGTGTGTGTGTAAGAATGCAGGTGCCCGCAGAGGCCAGTGAAGGCGTCAGATCTCCGGGAACTGAAGCTGGGACTCGTGAGCTGCCTGCTGTGCCTGCTGTGCCTGCTGTGCCTGCTGTGCCTGCTGTGCCTGCTGTGCCTGCTGTGCCTGCTGTGCCTGCTGTGCCTGCTGTGCCGCTCTTAACCACTGAACCATCAACGGCCCCAAGCTGACCTTTTATGTTTGTTTTTTGTTGTTTCTTTCTTTGTTTGTTTTAAGACTGGGTTTCTCTGTGTAACAGCTCTGGCTGTCCTAGAACTCAATTTGTAGACCAGGCTGGCCTCAAACTCATAGAAATCCACCTGCCTCTTCCTCCCTAGTGCTGAGATTAAAGGCCTGCCTGTGCCACCACAACCAGCAAGTCAAGTCAAGCTTTTTTTTTTTTCATAGACTTTGAAGATCAAACACAAGTCCTCTTGCTGTGAGTACTCTACTAACTAGGCCAGTCCCATAGTCCATACCTTAATAGTGTCTATTTTTAAACGACAAATTTCTCCTGTGGGTTTAAAATATTTGATAATTCAAAAACTTCGCATCCACATAGTTTTAGAATTATTGCAGTATGGATTCATAAAGTAAGCAAGTGTCTAAAAAAAAAAAAGA